CCCACCTCACCGCACCCCATCTCGAAACGTCCACGATCGCTGGTGTAATCTCCCAGCGCGTCGGGCCGGCTGGACCGCACTGCAGAACCTCCACGCCGACCCAGCGCACGCCTCCCCTAACCTACGCAAACTCGACGCGCACGGCCGCCATCGGCAATTCCACCGGCATAGCACCCTGCAGAGGTGAGGAGGTCACGAGGGACCGCTGGGGAGCCGGAGGGGAACTGGAGAAGGCAAAGAGCACTGTCAGTAAACCGTTACAAACACAGCGCATGTATCCCAAACCCCCCGAAAAAGACAAAAACAATTCTAGGAAATTTGAAGAAACAAACAGAGACGTGTCATGTGAACAAACAAATAAATAGATTTTATTGCAATGTGAACGATGTAAAACTTCGCACAACAGCACTACTACGAATTAACAGCTCTAGGCGATTTGTACAAACGATCAAAGTGCGGACAAAAGCCAAGATTGCCATTCCTAAAGCAGCGAAATTAACGCTCTTTGCGATGAAAGGGACCGGAAGCTGCTTCTGTCCTCTACGATAGGGAAGAACGTGGGGTGGAGAGGATGGGGGGGGGGGGGCGCTCACTCTGCCAGCTCACTCTGCAAGGCCGTCGTACCGCTGAACGGCGCGGAGTCAGGGGCAGTCCGTCCGAAATCACGATTCCCCGGAAATGCCGTGCGAGCACGCGCGCGCTATCCGCCCCACTAACCGACCCCAACGGTGTGCCTGGGCGGCGTGCGGCGGATGCTAGCAGCTGCTGGGGCCGGGCGCTGAAGGCGTGGAACAGCCCTGCTGCAAGAATCTGTGAGAAATGAAAAATTCTTCATAATAAAAATCACATTGATACTGATCCGTATTTTTGTTCCGCTTGTTACAGATTTTACGCGTGGAATTCGTCTCATCGGGACGCTGTAGCAGAATACCCAGAAACCTAGGTATGTCTTAAAACTTTTCACAGCAATGGCCGCAACATTGGTTTTTTTTACCGATACTACGGAAATTGAGTTTAATTCCCCAGCAATGGAAATACCGGTGCTAAAAAGTTGTGCTTTTAGCGGTTATAGTTAGAATTATACGGGAGTGAGGCGCCTGCGAAACGGGGGGCAGGCCACCCTGCAGTACACGCATGCACTCCATACACGATTTTGCCTACCTATCAGGCGCTACGAGAGCATACAAGGCAAAGGCTGAACTTGGCTGGTTTCGTAACGGCGATAATGTCGGACGTCTAGATCATCCCGCTTAGCACAAGTAGGAGGCTGGGACCACCTATGTTTTCCAAGTGTATACCATACGAGTGTGTGCGTTGTGTGCACCATCATCCTGGCCCCCGCCCCGCCCTCCATGCAGCAGGCCGTGGCGCACCGCTCCAGGCAGGTGTACGCTCCTGCGTGGTGCACCACCAGAGCGTGGAGTCGCGCATCTCCCTCTATTCCCAAGAACGCAAACATCTTGGAAACGTTTGCGGCCCGACCTGGCACCCGACCCGCGGCCTCAAAACCAACCGTCCACGTCCACATGTGCTGTGTGAAAATTGTAGAATGACAAGGTATTAAAAGAGGTCAAACGTCAATCTTTTATTAAGTCGACGTTCGACATCTCTTTTGCTGTAAAGCAAAAGTTGATGTAAATCGAAAAGCTAAAGGGGAAAAAAAACGGTAAATCACCTGGTCAATTTGTAAAGCGGTCGGTCCGTCAGAGTGGACACAAAATGATCGTGACGTCGTATGGAAACCTGTGTGCACGCCTGTGTGTGCGGCGGCGGTCCAAAATGAACGGGTCAGCGAGCAGCACGACCGGTCCATGTGTGCACTACTGCGGCCGGGGCCTCCGGCCGCGCCCCGCACAACCGCTCCACGCCACGCCCTGCCACGCCCTGCCACGCCCTGCCGCGCCACGCCCTGCCACGCCACACCACCCCTTCCCCGCCATAAGAGGACTGGAGAGCTCCACCGTGCCTCGGGGGTCCCCAGTAGCACATGTGATGAAAGGAGGCAAAGTGATTGGACCTGCTTGGCTTCGCTCTTCTTTTTCTACCCCCACACTGCCCCCCTCCCTTCTCTCGTCGCTACGTCGCTGCCCCTTAACTCTCCCCTCCCCGACCGCCATTTCCGAGTTGGGTCGGGTGGGATCTCAATCATCGGCCGCCTGTCTCTTGCTTCGAGGTCCAGCAGGAGCAGCTCGGGGCGCCCGCCGTCACCCCTACCGCCCCTACCACCCTTGCTGCCCCTACCACCACTGCTGCCCCTGCCGCCCCTGCCGCCCCTGCCGCCCCTGCCGCCCCTGCCGCCCCTGCCGCCCCTGCCGCTCACCGTCGCACGGCGTCGGGTAACACGCCGGGATTGACCCGACCCGCCCGAATCCCGGTCCCATTCGGTCGACTGACGACGGCGTCGGCGGTGCGCTTCCGAGGTGTGCAATTACTTTCGTTTTGGAGCGAAAGTGTGAGATACGGCTCCGACACGGAAAACTGAGCGTTTGGTAAAACAGCTAAGACTAAGTTGGCTGTTTCCTACTGTTTTTCGCCAACTCCGCAAATATATTTCTGTTGCAGTAGTAGCGACATGTTTTCCAGCACCTATCTTGAGTCTTGAGTATAGAGTAGCAGTAGAAATCTTTGCTGAAATAGCTTCAAACTTTGGTGGCACGACATCAAACAGTTTTCTTTTTTAAATATAAAGCAACCTCCTTGCGTACGGGATATGTACAAAGCACTTGGTGGAAAATCGACAAAAATATCCATCTGTCAACGGCATTCCACCATTCATCTCACTTTCCCCCCAGCTCTCTCCCCCTCTGCGCCTCAGGTCGCCGTCGTCTCACGGACACCAACTTCGTGCGTCGACACTAATTCCTCTCATTACTTACCGAATGGTCCCTTAACGACCCCCACCCCAGCGGGAAAAGGGAGCGGGTTTGCTACTCGGCAGAGAAAGAAGAGGTCACAATGGCGTTGAAGGCGCCGGAGGCGACGACGCGGCACAGACCGCGCGGACCTGAACGAGACTGCTGACTCTTTGCTGATCGGTTGGCGCTGCCGGCACTATAGCGAAAGGAACTTCCGCTGGCCATGCAACCCCATCGCTCTGCCCCCCCCTTCCCCGTCCTACCCTTGCCTCCTGGCGTTCATCTCGATCAGCCTTTCCTTTTTACCCTTCATTCTTCCATGTGGCTGTTTCCCTCTTACACAACCCCCATCTTCTTCCCCCGGCAGTGCGTGTGGTCGGGACGCGAACCCCACGTTCCGTCAGAGTAAATGGGAGTTCATGACCCCCGCGTCTTGCGGACCCTTTACTCCCCGTTCCTCCGACGCGAACACAAATAATGTTGCGGCGGTCTCAGAAAATGGAGGTGGAGTACTAAAATCGGCGTGCAAGAGCAGGCATATATAGGGGTTCAGTATAGTGTCCGCTCGCTGGCGTTGTGAGAGTTTAAAACTAAAGTGGTATGCGACCTCATTTCACAAAAAGAGGTGTACTTTACAGCTATGGACCTTCCCCACCATCCCCCTTTTACTGATCGGATTTTGTACAGCCAGAGGAGGCGGACACTGTCGAGGTCGCAGGGCGCACGACCCTCAAGGGGGCCCGGTGAGCGGGAGGGGGGAAGGGCTGCGGGGGGCCTTGGCGAGGCATTCATCTTGATTGTTTGCGGCGGGGTAGTGTTTGCGAGGCAGCGGCAGCGGAGCCGGCGGCAGCGAGCGGCCGAGAACGCACTGGCCAGCAACAGGAGCAGCCGACCAATATTGCTGCGGCTCATGCCGCGACGGCACCCTTGAACTTCTCGGTCCGCTTTCAAAGAGGAGGAGGTTTCCCGGTCGACAATCATTAGCAAGCAGCCAAGAGACTACTCGCGGAAATTACAACTTTTGCCTATGGATTCCTGCGGTTTCTCTACATTATTTACACGCGCTCCCTACACATACTCGTAGGAGCGTCATTTCTTTAAAAGAAAGAAAAGTCCAAAGTACTACTTGTTATTCTCGACCCGACGACGTTCATCCATCCCACCGCCCACGATGACGTCACCATCGCATGTACTACGGGCCATATGCGCAGCGCGCGGCTCCCTGCGGCCCCCCTTTTCGGGTCTCCTTCGCATTGTGTTCGGCCCTCGGGCCCCTCTCTCACACCTGTCCCCCGCGCGAGCTTCCCCCCTGGGGAGAAGGCCCCCCAGGGGAGAGGGCCTGGGCCCCCCAGGACGAGGACCGGGCTGGCCCCGGACACAAAGCATCAGCTTCCGCCCGGCCAGAAGGGTCTCGCAGACGGACGACCCTCGGAGCAACGCTTCATTACGGCCGGCAAATTCAGAGTGCAGCAGGTGAACCCTCTTGCTAGAAATACGAAGCATTTTTCGCAACAAATTCGCTATTTAAAAAATAATTTAAAAAAAATAGAAAAAATGCGACAATTATCCACCTCTAATAAAAAGTTATGTCAGGTATGAGAGGTGGACATGGAAACCATGATAACCAACTGTAATCTGCCTTAAAACGATGCATATACCAATCGAGGCTGAACGGTGTAGTTCGAAGCCGCTGAAAGCTATTTACCAGGGGTCCTCTCGTAAACAGCTTTGGGCGCGGCGGCGGCATCCGCACAGTGCGCGCGCCGGAATGCTGTCAATCGGTAGCACATATCTGCGAGGATTCAGGGGCGGATCAGGAGCCTGCTCGACTCCAATCTGCGCGTCTGAATGTCGCCTCGCTTGTTGACTCGCGCCAAATGGCAATCACGACAGTATTTGGCGGGCCCAGGGTGGGGCTTGGGGTGGGGCCCGGCGGGGACCACCGCAGACCTGCGCCGCGGTGCGAATGCGGCGACCACGGCGGCCCGCGCACCCTCGGTACAGCAGCTGGAGGCAAAGCGGCACACCCGGCGACGTACACGCTAAAAACGGGTTAGCTGGATACGTGATGGGTAGTAAAATTAGCTGTACCAGCTATCTTTTTCGCCATCCTAAGTACTGACTAGCCACGGCGCAGGTATGACCTTAGCCGCCAGAACTAAAAAAGTTGGCTTGACTTGTTAGTATTAGTACCCATCAAGAATTCAGCGAATACATTACCTTTCTCAGCTATTATTTTTTTTAACTTTTTTGCGTCTACGGTTAGCCCAGGGACCAATACGAGATTGACTTATTGCGTCAGCAGGTGAGTGTGGTACATTTCACCCCGCTACCTCGACAAGAAGCACCGCGCGGTGCGCGGGAATATGTATATATATCACTCCTGAGCGATATAAAATTAGATCCCTCAGTAATTTTGCACGGGCGGAACTTGTTTCGGAGTGACTCCGCTCCTCCCCCGCCGCCACCGCAGCCGCAGTGTATACATCCCCGACCGCGCCGCGACTTCCCAGCATCAGGCAGATCCCCTATTAATTAATTTCTCCGCCCCAACAGCAGCAGCACCAGCGATAATCATTTTTCCTGAAGGCGCGGAGGCAGCTTCAGACCCCTCCCCTCTCTTCGCCTTTACCCGCCCCTCTGGCGGCTCCCGCCCCGGATCCACCGCGCGTCTTCCCCTCCCTTCCTGTCCGCCAAGTGGGTCAATAATTTGCTATGATCCATTGTGGGGGATTAACTAGTTTTCAGCATGGCTCCCCGCGCCCCCCACCCCCGCGCTATCAGCGCCATCACCGTCTGTCTCCCCAGCGTCCGGCAAATTGCTTCCGCGGAATCCCCTTCCCCCCGTCCCCTCCCCTACTCCTTGCGGCGTCCTCAGACAATGGATGTGAAGTAAAGAGGTGTAACTAAAATCGGCCTGCAAGAGCAGGCATATAGGTAGCTGTTCGTTCAGTGTAGTGTCCGCTCGCTGGCATTAT